ATACTCTGAGAATACCCTCGTCATGAAATGTTTAATTGCCACAGCTCGAGAAGAAAAGCTGTAGCCTTCAGAAGCTTTCAGCTGGGGCTCGTGCCTGCGTCCAGAGGTGGGGTGCTGGGCCCAGCCTGGTTCTTCATCAATACTGGCAGTTGTGTTGAGTGCCAGGAATGCCCCACCATGACCCTGGGGCTCAGGAATGATCATGACTGCCGTGGAATGTTGTACGTTTCCCTGTTGGAAGGAATGTTGTATCATATTCAGCTGTTTAAGTGGCCTCTTAACTGTCCAGGCTCAGTAAGGGCATCCGGCTGCCTCTCCACAGTTAAGGTCAATTACATATGCATTGGTTCCTTCCATCAGTCAACCAGGCTTTATTGATCTTCTAGTAGATATCCTTTAGGCTGGGGCCGGGAGCTGAAGGCCAGGGGCAAGCTGTTCTCACAGTTTGGTAGTTTGTTAACTTCCTCTTAATTGTGCTAAGTGATTTCTTACCTGAGTGAGAGGGTCAGAGGAGTTACTGTAGAGGTTCCTCAGGAGGTCCTGGATGCCCACTGCCTTCATCCCAGGTGGGCCAGGATCATGGCTGTTGTATCCTGGGCTAATGGGTCCAGAGCCAGGGCTGGGGAGTGAAGGGGGGCGTTGGGCCTTAGGTAGTGTTCCCCAGTGTTGGTGACCATGTGGGGGCCGTGTTGCATATGGATGTCAGGATGTGGGGAGTGACCTGCGCAGTAGGCCCAGCCAGGGACACTGACAGACACTCACTGTGAGGCCTGTGAAGGGACAGCGTGGTCCCACAGAGAGAAGACGCTCTCCCTGTGCTTGCTGCCCAAGGGCTGGGGGAAGGGAGTAATGACACCTTCCATCAGAACAACAAGCCCCTTCAGGCATCTCGCCTCCCTGGCCCCCTGAGCTCTTAGGGCTGCAGTTGGGTCCAGTCACCTATCAGTAAGATAAATTATCCCCTAGTTTCCCAGGGTGTGCATCTGTGTCAGTTTCTAGAGTGCTACCACCCAGGGAATCCCTGCCCCCAGCCTGTGCACACACACGCACTCCTGCACACAAATCCAGCAGCTGCACTGGTTTTTTCTTTTGCTGAACTTTGGATTCAGCCTCTGTGGGGTTTTTTTCATTGCTTCCCTATTATTAGTGGCCTTTGTCTACTCTGGCCTGTCAGACCCAGAGGCCCTTGAGGGCAGTTACATAGAAGCCCCTTGGCAAGTATTTATTGAATGACTAAGATAAGGGGTGAATGAATTCTGGATGGGTGAAGTGTCAAGGCTGGAGAAATTGGGGCTGACCCAGGTTTTGTGAGTTCCAGGCTGGGCCTGGGGCCAGCTGTTCCTGCCTCTGCTGCTTTGGCCCAGGGACAGCACACCAATTACTCCATGCTCTTTCCAAGAACTCAGGCTCCCCTTTCTTGTTCTGACTCTGGTGGCTGGCAGTGATTATGACTGACCCATCTGAGTGCCTGCACCTGCTTGTGGAACCACAGGGTGTTTGGACCCACAGAGCCTTCTGATATGATCGTCTGTTGCAACCCTATCTCACTCTGGTGCTCTCTACAGGCTCTACCTGGGCTCATTCGAGGGGCCGATGGCCCGAATCCTCAGAGAATCTCCGTGGGAGCTGCAAGCTCTGCTGAAATTCTGAGTGCTCTTGGGTCCCATGATGGGTGGTCAAGTTCTGAAGTAGATAGTTGCTCTCTGTCTCCTAGTGCCCAGCAGCTGGGCCATCAGTGGTGGCCCAAGCTGGGATGGACACCAGGGACATATATAATGAAAGAGCCAGTGGTGGGGGTGGCTCTCCCTGGGCTGTTTCTGGACCCCCAGGTTCTGGGTGTTAGCCCGAGACCCTCCCAACTCTGACGAATTCTGATTGTTGATGTTCATGGACTTGTGCAAAAGCTGAGTTTGGGTGCACTGAGGTTGGGGTGAAAGTGGTTCTCCTTTGGGGCTAGCCTTCTTTATGGGTTGTGTTTATAGGGTCAGTTCATTCATTCATCCTTTTGGTCAGAAAATACTAACAATGAGCCAGCTCTGCTTTAGACCTTGAGGCTTCATCTGTGACCAAAGCAGACATGATCCTACCCTCATAGAAAAGAAGCACATCCACAGAAGGGTTGGCAACCAAACTTTGCCCTAGGCTAAGTGCTATGAAGAAGAAAGTGAACAAGGGGAGAGAAGCTGGGACATCAGCCTCATACAAGGTGGGCCGCTGAGGACCTTTGTGAGAGGGGCTATGTGAGCTGAGACCTGCATGAGGAGAAGGAGCCAACTGCTAGAACCACTGCACATTCTAGAACGTTCTGTCCCCTCTCAGCTGAGATTTCAGCAACGGCACCTGAAAACCAGTTGCTTAAAGGAGTTTTAAACAAGCTATATTGACTGAAAAAATTTTTTAACATAAAATAAAAAAATTCCATATCCAAACCTAACTTGAAAAATGCTCACATTCATTATTTGAAAAGTTGAGCTATTACTTGCCCAGCATGAATACAGGGATGGGGAGATGGTCTTCAACTTGATGCTTCTTATCCAATCTGATTTGCAGTCTCGCTGTATTGCACGTTTAGCCTCCTCTCTCTCCTGCTGAATTGGCGTCAGCTCATCAGCAGCAACCTGAAAATAGCCCATTTTTCTGGATTCATGTCTTCCGAGCAGGCCAACTGGGCAGCCCTTGGAAGTGGGCCAGCCATGTTGGCTTTGGACTTTCCAAACTTCCCCAGACCATGCTGGGCAGAATTCTGAGCACTCCCAAGTGGCTTCAGGTTCATGATCCCTGTTTGCTCAGGAGAGGAGCTAGCACAGCTGGAAGGGGCTTGAAAGCAGAGAAGGAGCTCCAGCAGGGCCTGGGGGCTGTTAGAGACCCTGCCTGGAGCTTTCCAGCACTACTTCTGCTCTAGCAACTTGTGCACACTGGGCCTGCTCCTTCCTGCTGTTGGTTGGTGCCATGAATGCTGCAGCCAGCCAGTCTTGTCCACCAGCATGTCTTCAGTGCCGAGGACAGGGCCTGGCACACAGTGGGAACTCAGCAGGTTTGGTGAATAAATGCAAGAATCTCCATGAGAATTGACTCCTTCTGGCCAGGTTCCAAAATGGACTTTTTTTTTTGTTGGGGGTGGGGAAGGTATAGACTGCCACCAGAAACAAAAAGGAAAGATAGCAAATTAGAAGACTGCTTTTACAGCAAATGGCCATGTACTTCTGTGTGTGAGTGTATACAGTGTCACCATTCATGGACACAGTTAGGCCTGCACCACGGTTGCAGTTTTTCCCCCTCCCTCAAATAAACATCCGTATCTTTTTCTTCCCCTCCCTTGCAAGATGGACTCAAAGCCCCTGTCCTCTTGCCAAGGAAGTCAGGTCTCCCATTGGAGACCCTCCATGCCATATACAGTCTGCTTGTCAGGAGGCCCAGCAGGCAGCAGACCCCACTGGGGCTGAGTGTGCTTCCTCCACAGTTGAGCTCTGTCCCCACAGGTTCCCCTGGGAAATTACTTGGTCCAGGAATTATTCCTGGCTAGGGTTAAGCGCTGCTCCTGGGCCACCTGGCTGGCCAACACATGTAAACATTGAGCTACAAAGAGGATAGATGTGTTTCCTGTTCCAGTGGCAGGAAACTAATTTGGACTCCTTCACGTGAAAGATCTGGAAATAGAAAGACCCCAGGCACGGGTTCATTGCCTTTCAAAGTTGAACTCCCTACATGCTCTGATGTGGAGAGGGCCATTCTCTCCACCCTTTTCCTCCTAACAGCACAGGTTGGAGATGGGGTAAGGAGGGCTATTAAAGACAATTAGGCAGACCAGCTTTGAGTGTTAGTGTTTAACAAACAGCTTTGAGTTCTAATTTTCTGCAAAACACATACTGCAGGTACAATTTATACTCATTACTGTATATTGGGAAAGTTATTAAAAACACTCAAACTTGGTTGAGACTTCCTATGGCATCATCCCTGGATTTTAATTGTTTTTTATCTAGTTCTACACAAGATATCTTTAAGCCTAGTCAAGGTCCCTGCCTCAGCTATCATGCCAGTGAATGGACAGGGAGAGCCCAATATATGGTGGGAGTCTTTACCCCACCCAAAACTGAACAGTCTCAACAATCCACTAAGATTTTGTCATGAGATAATTTATCCTTCTTTTGATGGGCACAGTTACCAAATGACAAAATAACAGTGTTTTGTAACATAAGGGTTAAATCTTAATCTCTGAGGTTTGCAAAGCCGCTACTCGCAGTCTCCTTAAAATTTAATATACCTCGTTAATGCTTCCTTGCAAACACTGAAGGATTTTTATGATTATAATCATGTGTTACAGCACCTAGTACTGTTTCTAAGCAGCATACTAATCAGCTTAATGAGATATTACTGCACTTTTTGTTGACTAAAGCAAAATCCCTTTTATTGTTCTAAAGCCTGTCCTTTACTTTATTTTTTCCCAAAACATTATCTTGTTTTATTATGTACCAGTAAATATCATGCCATTGGTCTTTTTTTGTTTTTTTGGGGGGGCCAAATAATCTCTCTCATCTCAGACTGGTGAATGTATTGAATATAGCAACCAGAAACAAAAGTTCCACGTGTGTCTTCTTGGTCTTGCAGTTAAAGCCATTCTGCTCCAAGGCAAACTCTGAACTGAACCAACAGGTGCAGGTGCTACCAAGGGGATGAAGGAAAAGTTTAACACGTAGACCCTTGATTTGTTATTAGGTGTTGAAAGTGGTAAAACATTAATAATTTAAATCTGAATGAATAATTGCAGTCTGTAAATAGAAAATACAAGGAAGACAATCTATCGCCAAAACAAATTGGAGAGCAATGCCATATTGCATAATTGGCATTTAATAATTCATTTTTTTATTATTGTTTTTGAGTATAATTCCTTAGCATTATTATGTGTAGGTAAGGCATGAAATGCAAATTCCCCACCAGCTGATGCTGTTGTTTCACTGCGCCATGGTACCTGGCACAGACCTGAACTCTCTCTTTATTTCCAGGGATGGAAGAAGCCAGTCTGTGCCTTGGAGTGTCCTCAGCGGCGCCAGAAGCTGAGCCCCACCTGAGCAGCCCTGTCCTCAATGGCCAGTATGCCATGAGTCAGAAGTTGCACCAGATCACCTCCCAGCTTAGCCATGCCTTCCCAGAGCTGCACCCACGGCCCAACCCGGAGGAGAAGACGCCTGCGCCCCTGGATGAGAAGGCCCACGTGCCCATGAGTGGCCAGCCCATGGGCAGTCAGATGGCACTCCTGGCCAATCAGCTGGGCCGGGACGTCGATACCAGCCTCAATGGGCGGGTGGACCTGCAGCAATTCCTCAACGGGCAGAACCTGGGCATCATGTCTCAGATGAGTGACATCGAGGATGATGCCCGCAAAAATCGCAAGTACCCTTGTCCCCTGTGCGGCAAGCGCTTCCGCTTCAACAGCATCCTCTCCCTGCACATGCGCACTCACACAGGCGAGAAGCCCTTCAAGTGCCCCTACTGTGACCACCGGGCGGCGCAGAAGGGGAACCTAAAGATTCACCTGCGGACCCACAAGCTGGGCAACCTGGGGAAGGGGCGCGGGCGGGTGCGTGAGGAGAACCGCCTGTTGCACGAGCTGGAGGAGAGGGCCATCCTGAGGGACAAGCAGATGAAAAGCAGCCTGCTACAGCCCCGGCCCGACCTGAAGCCCCTGCCACATGCCCAGCAAGCCCCGCTGACCTCCTGCAACTTGGCCCTGCCCGCCAACCACAGTGTGCCCGACATGGCCAACCCGGTGCCCTCGCCCAAGCCAGCCAGCGTGCAAGAGGATGCAGTGGCCCCTGCCACTGGCTTCCGCTGCACCTTCTGCAAGGGCAAGTTCAAGAAGCGGGAGGAACTGGACCGCCACATCCGCATTCTGCACAAGCCCTACAAGTGCACACTGTGCGACTTTGCTGCCTCTCAGGAGGAGGAGCTCATCAGCCACGTGGAGAAGGCCCACATCACCGCCGAGTCTGCCCAGGGCCAGGGCCCCAGTGGCGGTGGGGAGCAGTCGGCCAATGAGTTCCGCTGCGAGGTTTGTGGGCAGGTGTTCAGCCAGGCGTGGTTCCTTAAGGGCCACATGCGGAAGCATAAAGATTCCTTCGAGCACTGCTGCCAGATCTGTGGCCGGCGCTTCAAAGAGCCCTGGTTCCTTAAGAACCACATGAAGGTCCACCTCAACAAGCTGTCTGTGAAGAATAAGTCCCCCAGTGACCCCGAGGTGCCGGTGCCCATGGGTGGCATGTCCCAGGAGGCCCATGCCAACCTGTACTCCAGGTACCTGTCCTGCCTGCAGAGTGGCTTCATGGCTCCAGACAAAGCCAGCATGAGCGAGCCCAGCCAGCTCTATGGCAAAGGGGAGCTGCCCATGAAGGAGAGGGAGGTCCTGGGGAAACTGCTGTCCCCCATCTCTAGCATGGCCCACAGCATCCCTGATGGCGACAAGCACTCTCTCCTGGGGTGCCTCAACCTCGTACCGCCGCTGAAATCCAGCTGCATCGAACGGTTGCAGGCAGCTGCCAAAGCGGCAGAAATGGACCCTGTGAACAGCTACCAGGCTTGGCAGCTCATGGCCAGGGGTATGGCCATGGAACATGGCTTCTTGTCTAAAGAGCATCAGCTCCAGCGCAACCACGAAGACGCTTTGGCAAACGCCGGAGTTATGTTTGATAAGGAGAAGCGGGAGTACGTGTTAGTGGGAGCAGATGGCTCCAAGCAGAAAATGCCTGCTGATTTGGTTCACAGCACCAAAGTGGGCAATCAGAGGGAGCTGCCAAATAAGCTCGACCCTTTAGAAGGCAGTCGGGATTTTTTGTCACATGGGCTAAACCAGGCACTCGAATATAACCTGCAGGGTCCTGGAAACATGAAGGAGAAGCCCACCGAGTGCCCCGACTGTGGCCGGGTGTTCCGCACCTACCACCAGGTGGTCGTGCACTCCCGCGTCCACAAGCGGGACCGCAAGGGCGATGAGGACGGGCTGCACGGGGGCCTGGAGGAGCGGCGCGGCTCGGGCAGCGACCAGGAGTCCCAGTCTGTGAGCCGCTCTACCACGCCGGGCTCCTCCAATGTCACCGAGGAGAGTGGGGTCGGAGGCGGGCTCTCCCAGCCCGGGAGCGCCCAAGAGGACAGCCCGCATCCCTCCTCGCCGTCCTCCTCAGGTAGGTTGCCAGGGAAGATGGGGGAGGAGCAGTGCCCAGCGGCTCTCTGCAGCCACTTGCTTCTAGGCAGGCCTCGTCGAGGAAGGGCCTTCTGCCTCTTCAGTGTCAGTTCTGAGGTCATGAGGCCTGATGGCATCTGTGGACCTGACCTTTCCAACTCTTTGGCCTTCCTTTGAACAAAGCTACCAGAAAGGTAACTTGATCCTTCTCCCTTGTAGCAGAGATGGCCAGTTGGTACCTTTGCCAAGGGGACATACCCTACCCTTCCCCTCCAATAGCCTGCCTGCCCCCATTCAATTTCCTGACCCCTCTGCCATCATCTCTTATCTGGAACCTGGGAGCTGGCATTTGGCTCCATCCATAGATGTGAATGTGTAAGGTCAGACCCTCACCATCTTTCCCTTAGGGATTTTCAGATAATTCTCTCATTTGGGCACCCTATTCTCTCTCCCCAGACCAAACCTGTGCCCTGTCCCCTTCTAAAATTGTGACATGGCTCACCTGCCAGGTTCCTCTAACCTGAAGAACCACGTCACTCTCCTCTGATGGTTTGGAAATGCACAGAGGTTTGAAACACAGATGTGCGCCTGCATGTCTTAAATTGTCTGTGTTACACGGGCGATACAGCTTTGGGGTCTAAAATAGCAAAGCAGAAAATCTGTCATCAAAATGTCTGTGAAATGCTGAAGCTTCCTGGCCCAGTTTGGGGGGGGAAAAAAAACCCGCTAGCCTAAGACAGCTAAATTAAAATCACTACCTAACAGCAGGTAAGCTTGTTGCCTCCGTCCATATTTCCAAAGCCCCTTACTAATGGATAGTAAATTGAAAGTTATATCTCCAGCCCTTTATAAAGAAAGCATCTCGCTAATACTGTAATCATTCTGCAGCCTAACAACAGAGGAAATCATGCCATAACAAATACCCTGTTACTAATGGCAACATTGATTTCTGCAATCAGCCATTAAGTCTAGAAAATGAAAGACAGTTTGAGGCACCTCAAGGCACTGCATTGCCCGCAGTTAAGGATGCGACAGTGCACTGGTGAGGGGCATTTTCAAAAGTTTTACTTCTCTTCTTTTCTTTCCCTTACTTGGCTGCAATAAATATTTCAGTATTCAGGCAATTCCCTGCTACAGTTATTAAGTAGATGCCAGTTTAGTTCTGTTGTTATTGTCATGCTTCACTATACCCTTCTTCTAGGACAAAATTAATATTAAAATAAAGTGTGAGTCTGCTGGCTTATTACAAACCGGTAAAGAATTGTTAAGACACATAAATCTGAACTCCACATTCCAGAGATTCCGATAGCACTTAATGCTGCTGCTTAAATACCCATGAAACACACTGTCTACTCCTGGAGTCCTAGACTCGTTTGTGATTTATTTCTGGTGAGACACTCTGGAAGAGTCTAATAAGGAACGTGAGTACCTTGAAGGGGTGAGGTCACGCCGCACAGAGTGACCACGGCACGGAACATGCAAGATGCCAGAGAAGGATTTTCAAGTTTCACTGCCTGACAGCGGGAACTCTATCAAAACGGATCTCTGTGCAGAGGCAGGGAGGTGCCAGGCCTCCCCCTGTCCTGTCAGGAGGGACTATTTCTGGCCTCCTTTGAAGAGGTCCCCTCTTCTAGGGAGTGTCATCTCACTGTTTTTGGATTTGGAACCTTTCAGGGGCAGAAAGCAGGGAGCAAACTGGCTCCCCTAAGTTTTTGGAGTGATGTGGGGTTCACACTGACAGATTTTCATCCCTCTCCCAGACCTCCTGAAATGTAAAGGTCTCAGCAGAATATTCTGACACCAAGTGTTCGGCCTTATTAATGACGTGTTTACCATGTTTTTCTCACCTTCTGGCCAAGTGATAGCCTCATGCTATTCCTAGTTCTCTTGTTTCCGTATCTCTAAATACTCGGCTGGAAAAACCCATTTTGCTAAAAAAAACCAGCAGGGCTCACAACTCTCAAAGGAGAATTATACTTGAGTTTTGTTCTCTGCTTACTTTTATTTCCCCCATTGAAGTATTTTACAATTGTGCATACTGATTCTTACATTTCTGGTTGACTTCTTTGTTTTGTTCATATTCAAATTAGATTCTTTCATAATTTTTTGAGTAAGTAGGAAAATTGAGGCATACCAACATACAGTCCAAATCAGCTGTAAGCCCGGGCCGTTTAGGTTTCCCTAGGATTAGGACTCTTAACCAAATCTGGTTAGTCTTCCCTCTTATTTATAACAAGTATGACTTGTGTAAAGTGTGATTAAAACGAGCATTTAAATAAAAATCTTGACACAATAGGTATTTTATTATTACCTGTTTAGGGAGAAACCTGCAAGGTGAAGGGGAGGCAAAAAAGTCTTTAAGCCCTTAAGTAAAGAAAGAAGTACTTATTAAGGCTTCTATTAAGAAATAACTGCAAAACACGGTTTTACAAATTTCTCAGACTGCATAACAATGTCACAAAACTTAATTTGCATCACTTGATTCTTTTTTTGTTGAAAACTGGGTCAGTAGGGCCTGAGAAACTATTTTTTCAGATCTTAACCAATGAATTCTTCTTTATAAATTGCTGCTCTTAACATGATAGTAGTTCTGAATTCATCATAAAAAACCTTTTTACAGAGAGCCTCTTAGAACAGATCTCCAGAAGAAGGCTTACAATGAGTGGCAGAAACGTCCTTTGTTATCTGATGTAATTCTTTGCAAAGGAGGATTGGGAACGGAGTGGCTGTTTAAAAATGTCTTGCTCAGACCGAGACGAAGAAGGGGTCAAGTTTGCAATCAAACAGTTATTGCCGAGATGGGCGACTGTCACTGGCTAGGCTAATGTGGGATGCAGCTGTTTGTTATGTGAGCAAAAGAATGTTTGAATCAGTGAACATGTGAAAATGATTCCAGTGAACCAGAAAATGTGTTTGTTCTTTGGCTCTCCAAACTGCTGAGAACTAAGCTTAAGATCAACTGCGAAAACTAGGACCTTTGACAAATTGAGAGGTCATATTTTCTAACAGAAAATGGACAAAACTAGTCACACAGATCACTTGCCCATCTTTCCCCTTTGTTTCATTTTTGTAATTGTTGTTGCTTATCTGACATGCCGATAATTTTACACCATAATAGATGTCATTTCTGCCTCCATATACAATGCAAAGGGAAACTTTGGAAAGCAGCAGCTTATACATTTTACTTTTTTGTGATGTTCAGAAAGCAGGGTGGCTGTTTTGATGCTCCCTCATTTCTGGCTGGCATGTAAATGCTCCAGTGGCATTTATCTCTGCATCTTTCACTAAAACCTCATCTGAGACTGTGCTCAGATTCGAGTTATACTCTGAATCAGAAGATGGCCCAAGTTCTGTTTCTTTAGATTTTGCTTTGGAAATCACGCTCAGAATAATTAAAACTTAATGTACTAAGAAACGATACTGTTCATTATATCCAACAGGGCAGTTACCTTCCACATTCCCCATAATTTTGGAGAGGGGCTAATTGAAGTGTTGATGGTGGGAAAGGGGTAATTGAATGCATTGACCCTCTGTTCATTAAATAAAGTCAGCTAAGTTAAGTGATCAATGGAAAGCCAGGGAGAGATGCAAAGATGAAAATATCCTTAACCCCTACTATTTCTGGTATAATATTTTGAGATGCACAAGGATTATTTGATCAGCTGGTCTGGAAGCCTCGAGGGGTCTCCTTTTGTTGCCTGAGCAGCATTCCTGAAATGCTGGGTCTCCATCCTGTGTAGGCCCATTGACCACAGCATCAAAGGCCTTTATCCAGGGCTTCCTTGCATTTACATCGGGTGTATAGTGATATGATAGATTTTCTTTCTTTTCCACCTCTTTTTCTCATGTGGCTCCTCCTTCCTGCCCCCATTCATGATAACTACTGCCTGCTCCACACAAGCAAATCCAGGCACCCAAAACAAGGGGGTAAAAAAGAAAAAGAAAAAGAAAAAAATTTAAGTCCGAGGATTAAGATCTTCATTTTTTTTTTTTTTGCTTGTGCATTCCAATTGTTCTTAAAATATTTGGCAATGTCAATTAGTAACTGAGCAGAGTTAGCTGATGAACACAATTTTCCAGTAGACTGAGCACCCTATTGTTGCCGAGCGAACAGCAGATTTCTGAGGTCATTATCATTCGCTGGTTGCTTGGCCCAGCTGCTTCCTGCTGCAAAAGCCAAACTTTATACTGGAGCTCGGGGATGGCGTGCAGCAACAGGGGGCTGGGAGGGGGAAGAGGGGAGCTGGTTGCAGAGCCGAAGACAGTCATTATCAGCAGAGGAAACAGAAAGTAAAAGTTTCCAGGCTATTCCAGGAAAACTGCTCTATCAGGCTTCTCCCTTCTATTCCTCTCCCAGCACCTTCCACCTCCAGGCAGGGAATTAAAAGGACCAGGGGAAGCCCCCTGGGCATTGTAGCAACTAATCTCTTTGCTGAACAGAACTTTGGATAACAATAATCCTATTTACAAATTTACTTAAAAATTGTTAACCCAATCTAAGGCATGTGAATGATTTCCTCATAAATAGACTCCTTCATTTTTATTAAAAACAGAAAAAAGGAAAAGAAAAACAAATCATTTTTTAAAGATGAAATTGATAACTTGAAATTAGTAAACCTGAGGATGACAAGGAGGGAACAATATTTCATTTTCCAGAGGGACATTCTGAGCAGATAATACTCTGAAATTCCTTGTGAAGTCAAATTTAGCATGGAAGTCCTCCCACCCCCACCCCACTCCAGCGTTCCTTTTTTTCTGACCGCCTCCCTCCCTTGCTCACCCCCTAATTTGGGAGCTGGTTCAGTGAGATGAAAAGCTGCACTTTTTAAAGCTCAGCTGTTAAAACCGAGCGCCATATGCAGCCCTTCCGTCCGACTTGGAAGTGTGTGCAGGCGGCTGCCCTGTTTGTGGAGATTTAGAGAGGCTCGGCTTGTATGTGCCCAAGCTGTGTGCACAGGCAAATGCTGGTAGGGCCCTTCCTCCCTGTGATGTGGCCGCTTC